ATGAGGATTCTAGTTTTTAAAAAGAAAACTGTAGGTTGGTAGGGGATGAGGGATTCAGTAGGAAGAATTTGATGAGTACTTACTTTAAATATAAATTGTAATGGGGAGGACATAAAAAATATATATCCTCACACTCTAAGAGACTGAAGCATGCTCAAAGGAATAAAAAATCTATCACTATACTCACATGTTGAATGGAAGCCTCCATCAGCCTGGGTCCCCACAGGATTAGAACAAGCATGGACCCCGCAGACCTGAAGCATGAATGAGAAATAAACTATTATGTCAACCACTGAGATTGTGTTTGTTAGCACTGCATAACCCAACCTATTCTGACTGCTGCTGTTAGCTTTGGACACTCACCTCCCAGGGTTTCACTCTGCTACAGGGCTCTGAGGTGACTTTATGCCAGCTGAATAATACATTTAAAATAGTAAATGTAATCCACAATTTATATGTTATTTCAGTTGAAACTGCTGTGCAGGGTGTCCAAAATGCCCTGCTGTCAGAAATGGAAGTCTATTATTGGGCAACTTTATTCCATTTTTTTTGGTGGGGTGGGGAAAGTTGTTTTTCTTGGGCATACGAATGAAATAGAAAATTTACCTGAAGTTACTCTAGTTACGTCTTATTGGTTCAACATGTGAGTAGGACACTAAGAAAGTAAAAATGAAGGGTTTCATCCAGGTTACTTTGCTTTAGTCTATGTTCAAAGTTTGCATCCACACCTGCCTCATTATAGTATTACATTACCTTATTTTTTTTTAAGTTTCAAGATATAATTCACATACCAAACAATTCGCTCATTTAGAGTGTACAATTCAACTGTTTTTAGTATATTCGAAGATAAGTACCATCAACACCACAATTTTAGTACATTTTTGTCACTTGAACAAGAATCCCCATACTCTTTAGGTCTTAACCCTCTGTATCCCCTCTAGAAGGACTTTGGTGGGATGAGTAAAATTATGACTTTTGTCTTAATAAAGTTCTCTGTTGCAAGAAAGATAAGAAAAAACGGTGAGGAGGGCCTTTCCTCCTGTGATTCCTTCCATACAGGACTCTTTCCTCCTTTGCCTTTGGGCAAAATGGGTTATCGTTTTTGAATGCACAGGTATGATAGTCTCAATCACTTGTAATGTTTTGTAAATTTCAACTTTGTAGATACAGACATTTCTAAGGGCCTCTTGCAAATGCATGACCTTGATCACAGGACAAGAGATCAACTCAAACCGTATCACCACTTCTGAAAATACACTCGAGATTGGTGTCCTACTAGCAATGTCATAGCAGCTGCTAATTCTTGACAAAATATTTCCCTTACCATAATACTCACATAATCAAACCTTGAGTCACATACCTGTGAACTGGCATCTCTCAGTCATGCTCCGGGAGGGCATGGTCTAATTCGGCATCTTCTTACAGATGAAGGAACTGCGGGACAGAGACCCTTCGTTCTATGGGTGCTTTCCCTTGCTTCCGTTGCATGCCTTCATTTCCGGTTTGGCAGTGTGTGCATCCCCCGTCCACCAAAGTTCTAAATCTTTTTCTCTCTCAGCTATCTATATGAGAAGTAACCTACTCCCTTAGATTACAGGGCCCCAGCCCTCATTAACCTTAATAGTGAAAGAAATACAGCTTTTGTGGTAGGAGAAGTGGAAATGCCACTCCACTCAGCACAAATAGCAACATTTGCATGAGCTGAGGATACGGGCTTTTGAGGAGGTAGTTCATCCAATGCAAATGTTTGCTTCTAGTCAGTGCAAACTTCACATATACAATACCCCTGGCTTTGTGGGCCCCTTTATAAAGCGTTGTGCAATTGCACACATGAAGTTATTTAGAACAGGTCAAGGTGTTGTCTATACTGTATTTTCTTGATGTCCTTTGAATTAATGACTTGGTCCTGAAATTCTCTCCCTGCTTCCCAGTGGGTACCTGATTGCTGTTTGTTGAAGGACTGAACAGTTGACAGTCCATTCTTAAATACTGACGTCAAATGTATCCTAAACCTCCCCTTTTCCAGACATCAGTCTCTCTGCTTGTTCCTTGCTTGCCAGGCTGAAGTTTGCTTTAATGGGATTTAAGTGCTGAGCGAAACTCAGCCATGACTTCATCCCTCCTCTTTGGGAGATGCTGCTTTTGTCAATGACACTGAGTTTGGGAGGACAGTCAGCTTTTGGGGATGAGGAAGCAGGGGAGAGAACAGAATATAAATTCATAACCTGGGCAAGTTAGAAAAATGCCTGAGGACTGGCTTGAACTTCAGAGAAGGCCGAAACAGGAGGCAGGTGGGAAAGGAGCTGCCTAGAAGCAGCCCAGGCCATGACCTGTGGCTGGCAGTCCAGTTTCTAGAAGCAAATAAACCTGTATAAGAAAAGTTGGGCAACTGGGCTTCATATATGGAAGTGTTAGCTTGTGAAGCTCTCTTATTTTGCTAAGTCCTGATGACACTCCCTTGCCAGATGAGGGTCAGACTTTTCCAAGAAAGCTGGGCAAATTTTCATGACTGTTCTCCTCCATTCCTCCCCAAACAGTCACTATTGTTCTCTTGAACCCAGGCCAACAGGCAAATATGAGGTCTGACAAGTTCACGAACATATCCTAGAAAAAGTGCGACATACCGCATTGCTGAATATCACTACGGTCACCTTTGAAGTACTCCCCTTGGGAAGCCATGCACTGACGCCAGCACGTAGGCCACCCTTCAAAGCCATTTTGGAAATCTTTTTCTGGAATGAGCATCAGAGCCTTTGTATTACCCTTGATGTCCTGAATGTCATCAAAATGTCTTCCTTTCAATATTTCCTTTATCTTTGGGTAAAGAAAGAAGTCACTGGGGGCCAGATCAGGTGAGTAGGGAGGGTGTACCAATGCAGTTATTTGTTGACTGGCTAAAATCTCCCTCACAGACAGTGCCGTGTGAGCTGGTGCATTGTCGTGATGCAAGAGCTCCTTTGGGACCATTTTTGCACACGCCTTTCTCATGCCAAGATTTTCAGTTAAGATTTTCCTGTTTCTCTATCGATGTTTACTTGGTCTGCTATGCTTCTCTCAGTCAGCCAATGATTCTGACACACAATTCAATGAATTTTTTTCAATGTTTTCATCAGTTCTGCTCGTTACTGGACGCCC